GGTCATCAAAGGTGTCCTAAGACAAGAACGCATTTTGGTTTTAGGTTTTAGGACAGCTTTGATGAAAGGTTTTGATCCACTTCAAATGTTGACTACTGTATTAATATGTCTATAAAATAATAATAATAAGTAATATTAAAAAAAGAATCAATAAAGATATTATTATTACTACTACTACTACTACTACTAATATTAAATAAAACTACAATAATAAAATTGTAACTACAATAATAAAGAAATATTGCTATTGTGATATTTCACTGTAAAATAATCATAGAGAGTATTTAAGAAAATATAATAATAATAACAATTGTATTTTACCTTGCATCTGTAAAATTAAAACGTCTTAATTTCCTTGTTTTCATGATTATGGTTTTTATTTAGATTAATAGTGCAGCCCTAATGCATAGTGTCTTTTATTATAGTACTTTTGCTGATGTTTTATAACAGTAAGCAACATTTATTGTTCTAATGTTCAGAGTCAATATGGGTTTTTCAGTGACTGGTTCTGTAGCACTTTGATATGCTGTATGCTTTGTTGGTCGGAACAGGCATCATTTAGTCTGGCATTAATGCAGCATTATGTCTTTGCACTGAATTTTAAGCAGCCTTAACTCGCTGTGTAAAGATGCCTTAAGAATAAGTGAAGTAACAGTTTCTCACAACCCAAATATATCTGCAGCACAACAGTGCAGGAAGTGTTCATGCAAATAATGCATGGTCATGTGACTAAAAATCACCATGCACTTGGTCTCAGAAACACCATATGTCGAGTTGTTTTTCCCATGTCAACACGCTTTCAGATGGTCGTCTGGTTTCTGAGGGAGAAAATCGGCCAATATCATGTTAAGGGTCGATCAATAACAGCTCCAGTCACCCACTGATTTCCTAACTTTGAGTGGAAGTGTGAATGAGGTTGGCATATAGCCGGAATTATATTTTATTTCATACATAGAGACGTTCCATTCCCGCCCTCTCAATAATGCTTCATTATCATCTTTACAAGGAAGTGTTTCTTGAAGATTTCTTGAATGTTAAATATAGACCTCGTGTCATATGAATGGAAAGCCCAGTCATTTCTTTTTGTCTGGTTATATTCTTTTTTTGAAAGTAATTAATACTTTTGTTCAACAAGGATGCATTAAATTGATCAAACGTGACAGTAAAGGCATTCAAATGTTACAAAACGTTCTATTTTAAACTTTAATTTTAACTGCTGTTCTTTTGAACTTTCTATTCAGCAAAGAATCCTGAAAAATAAAATCTATCAGGGTTTCCACAAAAATATGAAGCAGCACAACTGTTTTCAAGATTGATAATCAGAAATGTTTCTTGAGCAGCAAATCATGGTATTAGAATGATTTCTGAAGGATCATGTGACACTGAAGACTGGAGTAATGATGCTGAAAATTCAGCTTTGATCACAGGAATAAATTACATTTTACAATATATTCACATAGAAAACACTTATTTTTAAATTGTAGCAATATTTCTTAATTTTACTGTTTTTGCTGTAGTTTTAATAAAATTGTTATTAAATACTTTATTAATCCTTCACAGGAAATTATATTGTTACAGCAGCAACCTCAATTTAATCCATGCACATACCGTGATAAAAGCATTAGCAATTAATCGCAACATGAGAATTTGATACCGGCATATCCCTAGCACACAGACATATCTACCCAAGTACACACCTAAAAAAGAATCTTACACTAAAAAAAAAAGCACATTACCCAATAAAATGCATTACAGTTATTGCACATTAAAAAGCCTGATAGCAGCAGGCAGGAATTATTTACGATGCCGTTCAGTCTTACATATTGGAGGGATCACTCTGCCATTAAATGTACTCTGCCGAAACACCTCTAAAAGCATGTAATGGGTGCGAGTCATTGTTCATAATAACATTTATTTTTCTCAGCATCCTCATCTCCACAACCTGCTCAACCCAGTCCTGTGTGATGCCAATAATAGAGCTTGCCTTTTTCATCAATTTATTTAGTCTGTTCCTGTCAGATGTGCATGCGCCCAACCCTCAGCACACAACCTGCTTTGACCGTTTTTGTATACAGCTTCCATGTGGCTGGACCAGTCCAGTTTATTATCCAGCTGTACCCCAAGGTGCTTATAGTTGGAGACCAGGTCCATTTCTGTTCCCAAAATAGAGACTGGATCTGGTTTGGGCCTCTTCCTCCTAAAATCAATGACCATTTCTTTGGTCTTGGAGATATTAAGCCTCAGATGGTTATTATTACACCAGTCCACAATTCCCTGATTGTACTTCTGAATTCTTCCTCACAACCATCCCTGATACATCCCACAACAGCTGAATCATCCGAGTATTTCTGAAGAAAGCAGGTATCAGAGTTTTGTTGAAAGTCAGATGTGTATAGACTAAACAGAAAAGGTGACAGGACAGTTCCCTGTGGGGCTCCAGTACTACACAGAACAGTCTCTGAGACACATTTTTGGAGCCGCACGTACTGTGGTCCAGCAGTTAAATAATCAGTCACCCAGAAAACAAGCTCCGACTCCACCTGCATCCTTCTCATCTTCTCACCCAGCAATTCCGGCTGAATGGTGTTGAATGCACTCGAGAAATAAAAAAACAGGATTCTGACATTTGTACCAGGATTATCCAGATGTGTGTAAACCCTCTGGAGCATATAGATTAGGGCATCATCAACACCTATATTAGGCTGGTATGCGAACTGAAGAGGGTCTGTGAATGTACACACTAAGAAAGGACCAGTCTTTCAAGTGTCTTCATAATGTGAGACGTAAGGGCAATAGGTCTGTAATCCTTGAGCTCCGGAAGCATTACATAAGTACTACATAAATAAATGCAGCCTTAGTGAGCATAAGAGAGTTCTTTCAAAAACATAGTCTTACCAATCCCAAACTTCTGAACACTATGTGTCTTAGTATTTCCCTGTCACATGAATGACTGTGGATTACCATCACCACATGTGCTGTGAATCTTCTTGTCGGGTTTACTGTCGAGATCAAACGTCGTCTGAAAAATTCCCAGGGTGTTTATTCTCACATAAGAGACAAAAACAGAAAAAATAACATTCCATTACTGCACTTAATGCACTTTATTGATCTCAGTTTCATGTTGAGTCAGTCGAACTCCAGTGCGTCCGGGTAACGTGCGTTGAATCGCTATAAATTGGAACAGACTTGAAGTGTGCTATTTGTACTAGTGTTTATAATTTAACCATCAAGTTTGGGCACAAACCACTCAGATTTCCTGCAGAAATTGAATTGTTATTTTGTGATTTTGTAGTGGCACTAAATTTACAGGCTTCACCTTTGTGGAGATGAACGGGGGTCTTCATCGCTGCCTCTGGGGAAGCAGGTGTGAAAAACAACACCCATGTCACATAAAGTGCTAATGACCTCCAGTCTGCCACCCGCGCGTACAGAAGAGTGCCAGCCGTATCGCTTTACCTCGGGCTGCTGCGGGAGGGTTTGCTGCTCACTTGATGGTGACAGATAATGAGAAGTGAAGCCTTTCGTTCCATTTCCCGTCCCTTTCTTCTCTTATACTCGCGTGTGACCGTGATTCCTCACGGGACGATAGAATTAGTGGAGACTTAGCAGAAATTAAACTTTGCTGAAAGCAACAGTAGGGTTTTGGAAGTGAAGATCTCCTATATATACATACATATGTGATCCTGGAGCACAAAACCAGTCTTAAGTCGCTGGGCTATATTTGTAGCAATAGCCAAAAGATTCCACCCTCAGATTCTAGATTTTCAAATAGTTGTATCTCGGCCAAATATTGTCCTATCCTAACAAACCATACATCAATGGAAAGCTTATTTATTCAGCTTTCAGATGATGTATAAATCTCTTGACCCTTATGACTGGTTTTGTGGTCCAGGGTCACATATATGAAGAGTTCAGATCTATGTGCCGTCTGAAATTTTCATCTAAAATTTGCATTTTTATCAGGCTCCTATATTTATGTTCATTTCTTTCACTTTAATAGCATAGAAAAGGACCTATACATTGCCATTAAAGTAAAATGACTGAACCTAAACATAGGAGCCTGATAAAAATGCTAATTTTATGTTACTGCTTTTGCTGTATTTTGGATCAAATAAATGCAGGCTTGGTGAGCACAAGAGAATTCTTTAAAAACATTAAAAACGTCACTGTTCAAAAACTTTTGACTAATATATATATATATAGTGTGGTAATATGCTGAAGTCACACACAGACTTAAACATTCAGCACGTGAACCACAACAATGGTAACAATTCAATTTCATTTATTTTCATTAATTGTAACAATAACCATTTTATTTGCTCTTTTTGTTGTGCTACTACTGACACAAGACAGCAAATAAAATTGGCAAATAAATTCAACAACTGTAAAACAAAGCAACTGTATAATTTATTCATACTGCAATGCACTCTGGGAGTCAGTGAGTAGCTATATTAAGTCATGAGTAAACCTAAATGAAAGGATAAAGTACCCCCTACAGTTCTTTTTTAGTTACTAGAACTCTCGTGTAAGTAAACTATACTAACTAAGCATTTGTCAGTACAACATACTATTCCTATTTCACTTTACTTAGTTTTTTCAAGGCAATCGGTTTGCATGCTTTTTTTAAGTAAGCCCAACTAATTAGATTTTACAGTGCAGCAGGTTGCTCACTGTTTTCTGCAGTGTAGCGGTCAGCGCTGTGCAGGTAGTAAATGACTGTATGATGACAGCATGTTTGCTGATGCTTGAGTCTCCGAGTCGTGAGAAGAAGTCATTCCTGCCCCGAGGGCTGATGGGAGCAGTGATGTCACTCAGCGCAGTCAGGATGGCGTTATGTAAAGCACTCGGCTCTCTGTCCCTCCATCACTAGCCTGTGTTTCTTCTGTCTTGTGGCGTTTCATGTCATTCAGAGGTTTATCTGGGTCTGTGTTGAGCTCTCTGTGAGGAACAGACAGAAGAATGTGTTTCATAATCTTCATCCTCTCTGCTGTATGTTTGAATAAAATATCAGGATCCAATAGAAAGTGTCTGTGCCAAAGATTTCAGGCTCGTCTGTCTTTGTGGCATTTCTTGCTCTGTTTTAAACCCTAGTGAGCTGCCTTGTTTGACGTCTTTGACCTTTGCAACACATCTCACGTCTTTTTAGGGTCTTGTCCCATGAAATTGATGATTCCCTGTCATCACGTATGAAACTTTTCACTGACCTGGTCACAATGAATTCTGGCATTGCCTGTTTAAATGAAGAATAAATGTGATGCTGCCTTAAAATTTGGCCAAAATAAAACAAGTTAATTATGCGTCTGATGACATTCATTTTCCCAATGATTCCTAACAAATAGTTTAAATATTAAATAATTATTTAAAATTAAAGTTCATATTTGTTTAATATTTGAAACGTATATTTAAATATGAAAAACAGTATTAAATATTTTAATATATAAAACATGTAGGTTTTTAATATTTTAATATAATATATGGTTAAAATATTATTGTAATTTTTATAAATTTATATATATATATATATATATATACATACATACATACTTTTAAATAATTAGTAAAGTTGTAATAAATAATGATTTTTAAATGTATTATTTTTAAAAAATATTATAAAATATTATTTTTGATACACGCTAGGGTGTGTAACAGAACTTTTGACTTTTTGATGCTGTTGAAATGTAAAGCGTCGAGAGGAAGTGAGCGCTTGACATCACTGCTGGCTCGTATGACTGCTCACATTATATTCTGACTCCTGCAAGCATTTGATGTCTTCTCAACGTTTTCTTTCTCTAAAATCTGCCTGTTGGCCGTATATCAAGCCATTCAGAATGTGTCAGCGGTTTGGATGCTATCATTTACCTCTTTAATCACTCGAGTTTACTGCAGTCATCCCTGTGTGTGTGTGTGTGTGTGTGTGTGTGTGTGTGTTCTTCCTGAAGCCAAGTAGGGCATCTCCTCTGGACTGCATTAGCGCTGCTTGAGTAGACGCCGTGGAAGTCACTGGCTGTTCCTAATCCAAAACAGTCGGCTGAAGGTTTCCGAGAGCGAGGTCGCTATAACAACAGTATGGTTGCACGCTGGGAATACTTGACCCTCGTAAGAGAGCGGAGTCTGATTCCCATCACGACTGGGTTACGCTTGCGTTTGGAGTCTGTGACGGCCGCTGGATTGTGACTGAGTGTTGCTGTTTTTCTAGTAACCTGTCACAGCTCACTTCAGATCAAATGAAATGAGGGAGATTCCAGAGACTGATTGGAATCATTAATGCTGAAGTGAGGAAAACAGCTGGTTTGCTGATCTTAACCCACTCTTTTGATTGCTTTAGAGGGTTTGAACACTTTGTTAGCTCGGCGACCAGCTAAACTTGCTTAAACTACACCAGCAAACCACCTCAGACTGGTTTGTTTATGGTATTAATAGTAATAATAATATTCAGTAGTAATACTAATAATTAATATTATTATTTTTTATTGTAATTATTATTAATTATTATAAATAAACAAACTGTGCATATTGTGCTCACTTTGCGAAATACCATTTACATTTTCCCTTACAAAAAGTGTATGTGTATGCAATTTCTTTTATAATAATAATATTAATAAAGGTATTATTATTGTTGTTGTTGTTGTTATTATAAATAAACAAACACGGTGCATATTGTGCTCACTTTGCAAAGTACATTTTATTTTACAGATATAATACAGCAAAGCAAGCAAAATATATCTAATTTATTTGCTTAAATAGTGTTATTCCTTTTTTAGTTAAAGTTGAAAAAAAAAACATAATTATTAAACAACTTTAAAAAAAAAAATTGCTTTGGCAACTAACTGAAATAAGTTTATGTTGAGGTATTACAATTTTTAATGAGATTTAACTGAATAAAAAACTGAATTATTTCATTTCAATTAAAAAAGAATAGTAATTAAAACAAAATAATTGAATAACAATGTAATAATTCTTAATCAGAATTTAGAAATATAAAAAAGTAATAAAAATACAATAATGTATTCACATATAATGTACATCACAATAACATTTAATGATTTAATCTAAAATTAAAATGAAAACTGGAATGTGAAAATAAAAGTTCATTATAACTTTAAAACTAAAAGTGCATAAATACATTAATAATTTTATAACTAAAATAACACTGCCTCAAACTAAACAAACATGTGTTTTTGTTTAGTCAGAGAATCATGATGATCCACAGGTTTTCTACTCTGCTGCTGTTGAGTTTGTAATCCTTCCATTTCCATAATGATTATTAAATCCTCATGAATAACGTCTCCGTTTGTTTAGCCTGATGAACTGATGTTTGCGTCACAGACTGAGCTCTTCTGAATGGACTCATGTATATGAAAATACCCATCAGACTTTGCTTCATCCACACCTAAAAACTAAACCTGCAGCTGCCTGATGAATGCAGAGATGAGCGTTTTATTCATGACTTCATCTGTTTACATGCCTTTGCTCGAGGTGTGAAGTTTTAGTCATAGTTTCTCGTAAACTATTTGAATTTCCCATAAAGAAGCTTCTGTGGCACTTGTGTTTCTGGAGACAGTGTATGACACTAATGAAAAGTAACCTGTGTTTGATTGTGTTGCAGCTGAGTTTCCAGCACAAAGTGGGCGTCCTGTACTGTAAAGCGGGTCAGAGCACAGAGGAGGAGATGTACAATAACGAGAACGCCGGCCCGGCGCTGGACGAGTTCCTGCATCTGCTCGGTCAGAGAGTCCGGCTGAAGGGCTTCACCAAGTACCGAGCTCAGCTGGACAACAAGAGTATGTGCTGAACACACAACACAATAAACAGCATTCACTTTTCCACATTTATAAAACGTTATCTATATATATATGCTATTTATTTATTTACGTAATTATGGTAAAAAAGTAATTAATATTATTAGAAATTGATTAATAATAATAATAATTGATAAATAAACAGTGCATATTGCTCTCAAACACTTTAAATTTTAATAGCATTTACTTTTTCACCTTTACTAAAAATATGTATATACTATTATTTATTTACGTAATATAATAATGTTTGTTATTATTGTTGTTGTTATTATTAAAAATAAATAAACAAGCACAATGCTTATTGTGCTCAGGCACTTGACATTTTTTGTTGCTTCTGTGTATACTTTAATTTCTTATTTAATTACTTTATTATTATTATTAATAATAATAATAAAAGTAAATATTTTTTTCCCCTTTTTTGAATGGTATTTGATTTTCTTTTCTCTTCAGGTTTGAACAATTTATAATTATTTCTATATATAACCATTTTATTTATTTTTTAATATTTCCTGTTTTGCCTCTATCTATCTTTTTTTTTTTTTTGAACAGTTTATAATTATTTCTAACTGTATACTGTATTCTATGGAAGCCCGTTTCCGCCACTGAATAAAAAATAAAAGAGGGAATTGCGACTTTTTATCTCACAATTCTGACTTTTTTTCTCCGAATTGCAATTGCGAGTTAAAAAGTCATAATTGAGAGATATAAACTCACAATTCAGAGAAATAAAGTCAGAATTGTGAGATAAAAACTGTAAGATGTAATCTCAGAAGGCTCACAATTCTTACGTTTTCTTCAGAATTCTTAATTCACAATTCTAACTGTTTTCCTCAGAATTACAAGAAACAAAGTCCAAATTGTAAAAAAAAGTCAGAATTGTGAGATAAAAAATCCCAATTACCTTTTTTTTTTTTTTTTTATTCAGTGGCGGAAACGGGCTTCCATATTATTCTGTACTGAAGCATTAACTAAAATTAAAACGAAAATATAAAAAGAGAACTGATTTAAAATTTGATTTAAAAACCGTAGTAGTATGTCAGTGATACTGAAATCCCAGTGGACGTGGGGTCAGTGAAAGCGTTGTCAGGGCAGGTAAAACTCAGCGGATCTGTGTTTGGTGTATTGACTGGCTCAGCTGTGCTGTGTTTGTCCTGTTGTTCAGCGGACTCCACCGGCTCTCACTCGCTCTACACCACTTATAAAGATTATGAGCTGATGTTCCACGTGTCCACGCTCCTGCCCTACACTCCCAACAACAGACAGCAGGTACAGAGCTCAGTGTGTAGGATTTATTGTGTAATAATGATATTAACCATGATATGTCCTCTTGATCAGATAATGCCGTTGTCTGTCCGTCCCTTTTGCTGCGTTCTCGAATCATGCTCATCAGGGTCTTGATGTTAATATAGTTGACATAGTGTTGTTGGTGTAGTGATTCCTAATATATTTAAATCTGAATATGTTTTTATATTCATAAATCTTTTTTCCCCTTTTTTGAACAATGTTTGATTATTTTCTCCCACAGGTTTGAACAATTTATTTTATTTACTATACATTAGCATTTTATTTCTATTTAATTATTTCTTGTTTGCACCCCAACCCCCATTCTTTTATTTTTATTTTTGTATTTATTTTTTTAATGTTTTTTAATGTGTTTTCCCCTTTTTTGCACAATATCTTTTTTATATACCCTCAGGTTTGAACAGTTAGCACTTTGTTTCTTTTTAATTATTATTTGTTTTGTCCCCATTATTTGTTTATTTTATTTTATTTTTTATTTTTTTATTTATCTATTTATTTATTTTTAAATTGTATGCATGTGCATTTTAAAGCATTTACTTCTTTTTAGGCAAGAAAACAAAAAATGTGAAAAGATAAAACTCAATGGAATTTTGACACTCGAAGACTGCAGACTTCACTTTGGTTAAAAGTGTGATTTGAAGCTATAAGTCTAATTTGGTAAATGCATGAGCTGCATTACATGTAATGCCATTAAATATGTTTGATATGTTTTACATAAAATGATTCAGTTGCATTGACTTTCCTAAAACAGAGCCTCTTCACTGCACTTGTCTTGACTGGTCGCTGTCACTTGGCGATTGGCAGGATTAGAGGATTTTCTGTCTTTTTCTTCTCCCACTTCAATTCTATTCGATTGCGCAGGATTAGTGCATAAATCCCTGTCCGTAAGCTTCCAGAAGACTCGGGCACAGTTCAGCCTCTCATCTTCTCATCCACCCCATCTCACCCATAATCCTGTTTGTAACCCTTGACTACTCACAGGAAGGCTGCCGCATGGTTAATATAACGGCTCGGGGTTAATGGAATATTATGAGTTCCTCACTCAAATATTGTTCCTTATCAAATATCTTTGAGATATGAAGGGCTGACTGTGCTAAAAATCTCTCAGGTTTCAGATATTGTATTTATGGATGAGCTTAAGAGATTTTAAGTAGTCTTTCACAGCGTCTGCAGACATCTTTTGTGCCATTTATTGCGCCAAAATTACGCCAGATGGCACATTGCTGGCGATTGATATATATATATATATATATATATCAATAACTCTTATATTTTTAATCTGTTTCTTTTTGCTGTGAAAAAAATGTATACACTCCTAAATGTGTTAAATCTTTTCAAACTGGTTTGATTTAGAAGACAAACATAATGGAAATAAATCCTTGCCTTTCAAAACTTGGGTCCAAAATCAGCTTTTTGCCACACCTGCTAATATTAGTTGAAAATTAAATTATAATAATATTTACAGGCTGTAAAAAAGTATGTTTAGCAACACAAAATTATTATTATTATTTGTAGTAGTAGTAGTAGTGTTAGTATTATAGTTTTTTTATTTATTTATTTTACTCTCCTTTTGCACTTGGCAAGTGTTAATTTTGCACTATTTTTAGCAACATACAAATATCATTATTATTATTAGTAGTAGTAGTAGTAATATAATAATAGAATATATATATTTTTAATTTTTTACATACTAAAAATTTTTTTATTTTTTTTTTTTTTTTTTTTTTATTTTATTATTAGAGTTATCATTATAGCTGTTGTTAATGTATTTTTCAATATTTTTAACAACATTCAATATTTTAACAACATAAAATAATATTTTATGTATATTATTATTATTATTATTGTTCCACTCTGCAAGTGTTAATTTTGGGCCCTGGTTACAAAAGAGGATTGAAAATGTCATTTTCGGTAATTTTTCATTTATCAGAGTTTCCTTTAGTACATATTAGCCGAAGTGAAATGGATTATGTCATGTCCCCTTTTTTCGGGGCACTTTGAAGCTGGAGGATTTGCTACTACACATGCTAAAGATGCTGTTTGACCTGTCCTTTGAGTAAACGGCACACACTGAGTCCATTCATGTTTTTTGTCTTCTCTCACCAGTTGCTCAGAAAGAGACACATAGGAAATGACATCGTCACCATCGTGTTTCAGGAGCCCGGTGCCTTGCCTTTCACACCCAAAAACATCCGCTCCCATTTCCAGCATGTGTTTGTCATCGTTAAAGTTCACAATCCGTGCACTGACAACGTCTGCTACAGGTGAGTGACGCAAACGTCTGTCTGGGAGCGATGCCTTTGATTTACACCGTAAATTATGATACGCTATGATAGCTATTAAGAGAAATGAAGTGATTTAATTTACCTTTGATGTCTGTTACTGTAAAGAGAAAAATATCAATGCAGCTGAAGAACCTGCATTAAATGCTGGAGAACTCACAGGAATCAATCATGTGTCAATGCTTGGTTTGCCTGTAATTTTTAATTGCCTGTAATTTTTGATCTTCTGTTTAAAAGCAGTGCCAAAGGCTGTTTGAGGCATTTAATTATTGCATTAAAGAGTAAATTATGTAATAAAATAGACACATACCAGTGCCATAAAAATAGTCCATATGACTCCTCTATATTATCTTCTGAACTCATACTGTAGTTTTATGGAACACTGCTAATTTTAAGTCATTATAATATTCACTGATAATCTTGTTTCATGTTGTTGTTTTTAACTAAAACTATTAAAATAATTTTTGGCTATTGAAATAATGCAGAAAAATGAAAACGAATAAAAAAAATTTAATAAATAAATATTAGAAAAACAAAGTTAGAAAGAAAAAACGAAAGAAAATTGGAAACTGAAATACTAAAGTTGAAATACTAAAAACTAATCAAATCACATTAAAATTTGTATGTCACATAAAAAAAAAAAAAAAGTGATATACGACCATTACATTAAAATAGAAATGTAAAAGTAAGAAATGTAAAAGTTGAAGAATAAAACTGGAATATAAACAGTACAATATAATACAAAATTGAAATTATAATATACTAAAATATTATGCTAAAATAGAATAGTAACAAATTGATAAAAGATAAAAAGTAGAAATGAAAATTCCTAAAACTAAAATAAAAAATAAATTAAAGCAATTATATAAATATAAAAAATAACTTTTAAAAATGACAAAAGCACAACAAAATTACTAATATGTAAATATTAGATGAAAAAACAAAAGAAAATGTTAGAAATGTAAAAATGTTGCAAAAAATTTTAAATGGTACCATGGCAACTTACTGAAATAAGTTTAAGCTGAAGACCTAAAATGACTAACAATGAAAAACAAATAAAGTAGCTAATAAAATAAATGAGCTATATATATATATATATATGTATATATAATTATAAAAGCACATAACAAAATTACTAAAACTTATAATAAAAGCTAAATATATAAATAAAAGCTTAATATATGCTATAATAGTATACAAATAATATTATAATAACACGTTTATTTCCAGTGAATAACGACTTGTATTTCACTTGTAGTTCATCACAAAAATGTATCATATGGACTATGTTTATGGTGCTTGTTTTGTTATTTTTGGAGATGCCAGTTCATGTTCTCTGCTGCTTTCTTTGTGAAGATCTGTATGAACTTTCCTCAAAATTGCTCCTTTTTTTGTTTCACGGAATTAATAAATCATGACAGATTTTTGCTATTCCTTAAAGGGTTAGTTCACCCAAAAATGAAAATTCTGTCATTAATTACTCGCCCTCATGTCGTTCCAAATCAGTAAGACCTTCGTTCGTCTTCGGAACACAAATTAAGATATTTTTGATTAAATCTGAGAGCTGTTTCTGACAACTGAAATGTTCCCAGCTCCAGAAACGTAGCAAGTGCATCGGTAAAATAGTCCATGTGATATCAGTGGTTCAACCGTAATGTTATGAAGCTACGAGAATACTTTTTGTGCGCAAAGAAAAGAAATTACTTTTTGCGCGCCGCCATTGTGGAGAGCATCACGACTAGGGTTGGGTATCGAAAACCGGTTCCATTTTAGAACCGGTTCCAAATTTCCAAGAACCGGGTATTCGATAAGACGCGTGCATTTCGATTCTGCTTAACGATTCCTGTGTTCGCATTTTAATGTGGTTAAAAACTATTTAAGTGCAGGAACGTAAAGAACTTGCACTCTGTTTGCGTGCAGCGCACACGAAGCGCAAGCGCGAGCACAGAG